CTCTCTCTCTTCCTCTCTCTGATGGACATTTATGATGTGTGGGTTATTTTTTGTTCCAAACTTTTAGGAAATAGAAAATATTTTTGTAATATTTTGATAGACTTCCATTGTTGTCATAGACACATACACACATATATATGACCATATATATGTATCCCTTTCGGTATGTATCCATGTAGGTTATGTTATAACAAACATCTTAACATCTTCTACAAACAATCGAAAATTGAATCATGAAACTTTCAGACAAATTCAAAGTTATAAAGTGTTCATCTCTTGAAGTATTCCGGCAGAACAAAAAAAAAACTGGCAATAATTCAATTGAGACTTGTAGGAGATTGCCTTAATTCAATAAAGTCCATGAAGAAAAGAAATTATTATTATTTTTTTTTTGTTTGTTAATAAAAATTATGAAATATAAAAGGGCAATAAAGGCTGTACAATTGGATAAACAAAATTGTGAAAATGGGTAAATTTATCCATGATTCTGTAATTGACCCGGAAGGACATATTTGGCAACTGTAGGAAGCTCTATAGGAAGTTGTTGCTACAAGGGCCTACATAAAATCTAACTAAAGAGAATTTTATGTAGTTGTTTAACCTCAAAAAAAAAACCTTAGGAGGGTATTAAGTAGAATACCAAAGAATTCAATAAAGATCTTTTCCAACCATAAGAACTAAAGAAGATCCTCAAAGTATCGTCATTTTTTACGAAAGAAAATAAAAATTTTTTTGGTTAACAAAATTTTTGAAATATAAAAGGACAATAAAGGATGTACAATCCTATGGAAAAACTCGTTACTAAAATATGGTTAATTAGGGGGAGCGGGGGGTATGTGTCCGAAGGTCATTGAAGTTTTTTTACCTATAGAACAAAGAACAATATATTTTTACAGAAAACCCACAGAAGTCCGCAGATCCATAAAGGTTATTCTTCTGATAGAGGACCTGGCAAAATTCTTCTGTGTACAAACGACTTAGGGCATATTTTCCAAGAATTGTATGTAGCGAAGACTTATAGATGGAGATAAAGAAACCTCTTACTTATAGGAGATATTTGGTTGGCTTCTACTTATAGATAACTACTTAGTATAACAAATTGGTATCCTACTACCATCTATGAAGGAGTATCTTTTTTTCGAACGTTCCCACGCCTCACATTCCCACCCCTGCCGACCGAGGGCGCGACCTTTCTTAACTCAAATTTTTCCAAAAAAAAAATTAAAATATGATTGGGAGATTTTTATACGTACATAAATTACCTGGAGGCATTTTTCGGAGCAGGAAATATTTTTTTCAATACAAGACCCACACAAGCTCTTAAATGGATAGTAAAGGTCTCCACTTCAACAGCATATATGGAAGCAGTTCTGCTTATAGAAGACCTTAGAAAGCTTTTCTCTGCACAGATGATCCATAGAAGTTTTGAATGTATCGATGTCCTTACAAAAAGCGTATATGTATAGACCAACAATGGAGAATCACATATGTAGAGAAGACGTCTAGAAGACACTTTTTAGATAGAAGACCAAGAGATAACCTTATGTGCATGGTAGGCCTATTGAAAATTTTCTACGTATGTAAAACCTGTAGAAGGTCATGCCTAGAACACAAAAAGCTTTTACCTAGAGAAGATTTATGGAAGGCCTTCCATATGCATAAAACCATAAAAAAGCCCATACAAGGTGAGATGAAAAAACTGCAATTAACTTCAGGCTTCTGTCATTTCTAAGCCAATCGTCCGACAGCTGTTGAAATTATTCCAGTGACAGCTCATTATATTGTTTACAAGCGTACAAAAGCATTCTGGTGAGAATTTTCCAAAAAAAAGAGATATTCGTGATGGAATTCAAGCGTGATAGTGTGATTTCTTTGTATTTGGCTGGACAACCACAAGTGGCTATCGTTAGAGCACTCCAGCATTAAAATGTGAATACATCTTTTGTGACTCGTACCATCGCTCGTTACCGCCAGTAGCCCGACGTCAAGAAAGTGGACGGAAGAAAACAGCAACATCAGCACAAAGGGTTCGAAAAGTAAAGAAGCGACTTGATCGAAACCCGCGTCGCAGTGGCCGAAAAATGGCTCGTGAGCTGAACATATTGCAATATTCCATTCGGCAAATATTAAAAAATGAGCTCGGGGTAAAGCCATTGAATTTCCAAAAAAGTGCAAGAACTTACACCGCAACAGAAAGAAAATAGATTGAAAAGAGCTGAAGAGTTGCTTCGCTTCGCCGAAAGTGGTGAACTGCTGAATTTGGTTTTTCCGATGAGAAAACATTCGTTGTCCAGTAGTTTGTAAAGGTCAGCTGAAACTGTGCTCCTTTGGTTGGCCACCAGAACACATGCGCCCGTATGGTGATGGTGTTGGCCGCCATAATAGCCGATGGTCGCTCTCCGCTCGTATTAATCGACCGTGGCATCAGAATAAATGGCGAATATTATCGCGAAACTATTTAAAGCCTTGGACACGCAAACATTTTGGCCGCATACCTTGGACATTCCAACAGGACCCAGCACCATCGCACTCAGCACGCGCCACCCTAGAATAGTTACAAAATGTGGTTCCTCGCTTCATTTCCAGCGCACAATGGCCACCAAAATCTCCAATCCGGATACCAATCCGTTGGACTATTGTGTCTGGAGTATTTTGGAAAGCAAGGTTGGAACCAAAAAAATACCACAGTGTCGATCACCTCAAGCAAGCGCTTCGCCGGGAATGGGCCAAAATACCGCAGAGTAACATTCGGGCAGCGTGTGACGGTTTCATTGGCCGTTTGAAGGCCATAATTCGTGCCAATGGTGACCAATTCGAACTAATCTAAACTTATTCCAAATCTAATCTAAACTTATTTATTTCCGACATTTTTTGGTTTCAATCAATGAAATTTAAAAAAAAAAAAAATGTAAAAATGATGGCGTTTTACTTTGTTGCAGTTTTTTATCTTACCCTGTATGTACGGAAGGTCCAAAGGAGGTCTTATGAATGTGTAACATTTTCAGGCGGTCTTTCGGGTTTTATTATATATACAAGAACATAGAAGGAGGTTTGATTCATAAAACCCCATAAGGGGTCTTCCGTTAATATGAGACAACATGAAATGAAAATGTATCAGGTCTAGAAGAAGCTAGTTGGGAAGCTAGGGTGATTTTCAAAAAAGGCAGATAGGCGGTATGACTTAACTGAGATAGATTTTATGCCGATCAGTAATATATACACTTTATGGGGTCTAATATGACAATTTTGAGGAGTAAAAATTGAACGGACAAATTTTATATACCCCCCATGAAATGGTAGAGCAGGGACGTGGAATGAACTTCATTTAAAAAGAATTTCAGGAAGGGGAACAAACTAGCAACTAAACTTATTTATCAATAGAAATAATAGCGAAAAGTCAGTATTTCGGAAGGCTCGGACACCAGTTTAGTTCTATTTCTGAAGGACCTCTAGAAGGTCTTTGATTTTCCACTAGTTTCCACATGTTTCTTGTCTATACAAAAATTCCGGAGTTGGTTTTGTCTTTATGGAAGGCCTCAGATGTTTTTCTTTCTCTAGAAAACTCATGAAGTTCGTTCCAACTTTCTTCAAAGTATAGCAGTTCTTCTAAGAGTCTCCCCTCTATTGAAACAATGTGATGGTCCCTATAGGAAAAAGAAGTCTTGAATGGTTTCTTTCTATAAAAAATTTGGAGAATTTATATTTGCAGAATGCCTTCAAAATAGGCTATAAAGGGTCCGCTAACTATTTTTTATCGAGTGTAGCATAGTCTGTATGGCACGTAGCTCTTAATTTTTAGTGAACAAAAGTGGTTCAATATGGCCCGATAACATAGCAACCACTCCTTGCTAATTACCGAAGAAAGGTAATATCGCAATATTTTCCAGCAAAATTGAAGCGTATTACCATTCACAAAATAAGCACCAAATAAAAAAAGTTAGATGCGGAACCTTTAATAAGATCCATGGAAGACCGGACAATTTTCTATATAAAAGAAGGCCCTCAAAGGTATTTTATGTAAAGAAATCCTTTAAAGTCTTCTTTACAGAAGGTCAGTAGAAGGATAAAGAAGTTTTGCCTTTAAAAACCCGCTATAAAACTCTCTACAGAATAACTTCGTTAAACCTCATTTTGAAAACCAGTAGAAGATTTTTCATTTTGGAAGACTTCTTTCTATATTTTAACCTAATTTCTCTTCATTTTTGGTCTCTCTTTCAACTCTAATTTTTCTCTTAAAATATTTTTTTTTCTATTTGAATTTACACCTGCTTGCTTTTTATGTGTACCTTCTCCATCGCTTGCATGTTGACGTTTTCCCCCTTTGTATATGTTCACCCAAGAAAACACCTTAGGAAAAAAATAGTTCTAAAAAATTCCAAAAACAAACAAAACAACTCCCAGTATTGAAATTGCTTTCGTTCGAACAATAACTAGACCACAGAAAAAATTAAAGAGTAATTAAATTCAACAATTGAATGTTTTGTTCTCCTTCCTTTTTCATAACTCTATTCATAATGGTTTTGAACAATCACAAATTGGAATACTAAAAAAAATCGAAAACAAAATCAACAAAAAAATAAACTCTTCTCTTGAAATCCGTTCAAATCAAAAATGCAAACAATGAATGCATTCCACAAAACGTCAATATGCCAAAAAAATGCATTTTTTTACTACAACTACTGGCACGACCACAAAAACAAAAACCCTCGAATCTGAATGAAAATGAAATCAAAACAAAAACAAAAAACAACAAAAACACCATTGGCAAAAAACGCATTGAATGGAAAATTTGCCATCACTTATTTTTCTTCTTGTCTTTCGCTGTCTATCTTAATTGCTTTTTGTGCATCACATTCTCAAAAAATCGTTTGAAAAAATAACAAAACTGAAAAATCGAAATCGCCAAATCAATTCGAATAAAACCCACAAAAACAACAACTACTGCAACAAAACATCACTACAGAATGTCAATGTTCTTCTTCCGTTTGCATAATCTTCAGCGTGCTGAGGAGAGTAAGCGCAAAAAGCGCGCCGAACGCCAGCGACAACAGCAGCGCCATCGCCGCGGCGCCAAAGTGTTTCGGTGTGTCAGTGATTCGGCGGGTCATTTGACATTAGCACCCAGTCGCCTGTTCGAAAAGACACCCATGAGTCCATCGGATAGTCTCGATGAAATTGCCCTGCAAATACCCAGGTAAGTAAAATTATCCACAATATAGATTTCTTTTCAGAACGAGAAACAAGAGAATTGGAGGTGTCTCCAAGAAGATAGAGTGCTGGTGGTGGCCGCAAAATTTACTCTCACTAGTTCAAAAAAAAAAAAATGTTATTTATTGTTGCTATTTTGGGGATATGTTTTAATTGTTGTTTTTTCTCTTTCTTTCTCTTTCTAGGTATGTTCAAGTTCAAATTTCTCTATTCTCTTTTGAGTATTTAATTGAAACGATTAGTGAACAATAAAATTGTAAGTAAACTCTTGATATTGTTATTAATTTTAATATAGGCAAATATTTAAGAACACATTAATTATTTATCTAAAAAGAAAAAAAAAAAATAATAATAATAATAATAATAATAATAATAATAATAATAATAATAATAATAATAATAATAATAATAATAATAATAATAATAATAATAATAATAATAATAATAATAATAATAATAGTAATAATAATAATAATAATAACTAATAAAATAATAATAATAATAATAATACTAATAATAAATAATATTAATAATAATAATAATAATAATAATAATAATAATAATAATAATAATAATAATAATAATAATAATAACAATAACAATAACAATAACAATAACAATAATAATAATAGTAATAATAATAATAATAATAATAATAATAATAATAATAATAATAATAATAACATATGCCGAAATATTTAGTAAATAAAGGTATCCGCATTCAAAAATTCAAATATCAATATCCAAATATCAGATATCAAATAATTAGAAACACTTTTCCAAGACCACAAAAAAAAATCCATCTAAAATATTACCACATGGAACTGAGATTATGGAATTTTTATAGACATAATGTATTCCAGACTACCACTGTAAGGACCTCATGAGTGAATTTTTAAAGAGTTTTTTGGCTCCTCCAAGGTCTAAAGGAATCGATTTTTTTTAAAGAAATTTTGTGGATTCCTCAAAGCTCCATATGCGTGGATTTTGTTAATTTTTATTTTTTAAACTCTTCCATAGTTCAAAGGCGTGGATTTTTAAAGATTTTTTCTACACTCTTCCAGGATCTGAATTTTTAAAAAAAAAACATTTTTCTAGACTCCCCCCAAGACCTGGTTTTTTTAAAAATTCTTTTTAGGCTCCTTCACAACCAGGAATTTTTAAAGATTTTTTTTCTAGACTCCTAAGTCTTAGATTTGTTTAAGATGTTTTCCTAGACACCTGCAAGACCTGGTTTAAAAAACAAATACTCATCTTATACCTGGATTTTTTAAAATATTTTTTCTAGATACCTGTCCTACAGTCCTACATTTAAACAAAAAAATAGGCTCTTCCAATACCTAGATTTTTTTAAAGTTTTTTCTAGACTCCTCCAAAACTTGGATTTTTTTTAAGATTTTTTGCTAGGTTCCTCCAGGACCTGGATCCTTTTTTATTTTTTTTTCTAGACTCTCCAAAACCTGCATTAAAAATTTTTTTCTAAACTCCTTCAAGGTCCAAAGGTATGGAATTTTTAAGATTTTTCTAGATCCAAAGGCGGGGAATTTTCAAAGATTTTTTCAAGACTCATCTAAGGCTCATAGGCGTGGTTTTTTTTAACGATTTTTCAAGACTCCTTTAAGGTCCAAAGTCCTCGATTTTTTAGGATTTTTTCTAGAATCCTCCAAAGTCCAAAAACGTGGATTTCTTAAAGATTTTTTCTAGACTCTCCAAAATCCAAAGGCGTTGATTTTTAACGATTTTTTCTAGACTCTCCAAAATCCAAAGGCGTGGATTTTTAACGATTTTTTCTAGACTCTCCAAAATCCAAAGGCGTGGATTTTTAAAGATTTTTTCTAGACTCTCGAAAATCCAAAGGAGTTGATTTTTAAAGATTTTTTCTAGACTCTCCAAAATCCAAAGGCGTAGATTTTTAAAGATTTTTTCTAGACTCTCCAAAATCTAAAGGCGTGAATTTTTTAAAGATTTTTTATAGACTCTCCAAAATCCAAAGTCGTGGATTTTTTAAAGATTTTTTCTAGACTCTCCAAAATCCAAAGGCGTGGATTTTTTAAAGATTTTTTCTAGACTCTCCAAAATCCAAAGGCGTGGATTTTTTAAAGATTTTTTCTAGACTCTCCAAAATCCAAAGGCGTGGATTTTTTAAAGATTTTTTCTAGACTCTCCAAAATCCAAAGGCGTGGATTTTTTAAAGATTTTTTCTAGACTCTCCAAAATCCAAAGGCGTGGATTTTTTAAAGATTTTTTCTAGACTCTCCAAAATCCAAAGGCGTGGATTTTTTAAAGATTTTTTCTAGACTCTCCAAAATCCAAATGCGTGGATTTTTTAAAGATTTTTTCTAGACTCTCCAAAATCCAAAGGCGTGGATTTTTTAAAGATTTTTTCTAGACTCTCCAAAATCCAAAGGCGTGGATTTTTTAAAGATTTTTTCTAGACTCTCCAAAATCCAAAGGCGTGGATTTTTTAAAGATTTTTTCTAGACTCTCCAAAATCCAAAGGCGTGGATTTTTTAAAGATTTTTTCTAGACTCTCCAAAATCCAAAGGCGTGGATTTTTTAAAGATTTTTTCTAGACTCTCCAAAAACCAAAGGCGTTGATTTTTTAAAGATTTTTTCTAGACTCTCCTAAATCCAAAGGCGTGGATTTTTTAAAGATTTTTTCTAGACTCTCCAAAATCCAAAGGCGTGGATTTTTTAAAGATTTTTTCTTTGACTCCGTGATTTTTTAAAAGATTTGTTCTAGACTCTCCAAAATCTAAAGGCGTGGATTTTTTAAAGATTTTTTCTTTGACTCCGTGATTTTTTAAAAGATTTGTTCTAGACTCTCCAAAATCTAAAGGCGTGATTTTTTTTAAAGATTTGTTCCAGACTCTTTCCTCTTTTCCTTGACCCCTCCAAGGTCCATAGGCGTGGATTTTTAAAGATTTTTACCTTGACCCCACCAAGGTCCAAAGATTTTTTTAGACTCTCCAAAATCCAAATCCATGACCCAAAGGTGTGGATTTTTAAAGATTTTTACCTTGACCCCACCAAGGTCCAAAGATTTTTTTAGACTCTCCAAAATCCAAAACCATGACCCAAAGGCGTGGATTTTTAAAGATTTTTACCTTGACCCCACCAAAGTCCAAAGATTTTTTTAGACTCTCCAAAATCCAAATCCATGACCCAAAGGCGTGGATTTTTAAAGATTTTTCTAGACTCTCCAAAATCCAAAGGCGTGGATTTTTTAAAGATTTTTTCTAGACTCTCCAAAATCCAAAGGCGTGGATTTTTTAAAGATTTTTTCTAGACTCTCCAAAATCCAAAGGCGTGGATTTTTTAAAGATTTTTTCTAGACTCTCCAAAATCCAAAGGCGTGGATTTTTTAAAGATTTTTTCTAGACTCTCCAAAATCCAAAGGCGTGGATTTTTTAAAGATTTTTTCTAGACTCTCCAAAATCCAAAGGCGTGGATTTTTTAAAGATTTTTTCTAGACTCTCCAAAATCCAAAGGCGTGGATTTTTTAAAGATTTTTTCTAGACTCTCCAAAATCCAAAGGCGTGGATTTTTTAAAGATTTTTTCTAGACTCTCCAAAATCCAAAGGCGTGGATTTTTTAAAGATTTTTTCTAGACTCTCCAAAATCCAAAGGCGTGGATTTTTTAAAGATTTTTTCTAGACTCTCCAAAATCCAAAGGCGTGGATTTTTTAAAGATTTTTTCTAGACTCTCCAAAATCCAAAGGCGTGGATTTTTTAAAGATTTTTTCTAGACTCTCCAAAATCCAAAGGCGTGGATTTTTTAAAGATTTTTTCTAGACTCTCCAAAATCCAAAGGCTCCTCCAAGGTCCATAGGCGTGGATATTTGAAAGATTTTTTCAAGGCTACTCCAAGGTCCATGGACGTGGATTTTTTAAAGATTTTTTTCAAGGCTCCTTCAAGTCCATGGACGTGGATTTTTTAAAGATTTTTTCTTGGCTCCAAGGTCCAAGGTCCATAGGCGTGGATTTTTTAAAGATTTCTTTCAAAGGTTCTCCAAGGTCCATGGACGTGGATTTTTTAAAGATTTTTTCTTGGCTCCAAGGTCCAAGGTCCATAGGCGTGGATTTTTTAAAGATTTTTTCTTGGCTCCAAGGTCCAAGGTCCATAGGCGTGGATTTTTTAAAGATTTCTTTCAAAGGTTCTCCAAGGTCCATGGACGTGGATTTTTAAAAGATTTTTTCTTGGCTCCAAGGTCCAAGGTCCATAGGCGTGGATTTTTTAAAGATTTCTTTCAAAGGTTCTCCAAGGTCCATGGACGTGGATTTTTAAAAGATTTTTTTTTTTGTTCAAAGCTCTTCCAAGGTCAATGGACTTAAATTTTTTTAAGATTGTTTCTTGGCTGCTTCAAGGTCCATAGGCGTGGATTTTTTAAAGATTTTTTTCAAAGGTCCTCCAAGGTCCATGGACGTGGATTTTTTAAAGATTTTTTTTCAAAGGTCCTCCACGTCCATGGACGTGGATTTTTAAAAGATTTTTTTTTGTTCAAAGCTCTTCCAAGGTCAATGGACTTAAATTTTTTTAAGATTGTTTCTTGGCTGCTTCAAGGTCCATAGGCGTGGATTTTTTAAAGATTTTTTTCAAAGGTCCTCCAAGGTCCATGGACGTGGATTTTTTAAAGATTTTTTTTTGTCAAAGGTCCTCCAAGGTCCATGGACGTGGATTTTTTAAAGATTTTTTTTAAAGCTCCTCCAAGGTCCATGGACTTGAATTTTTTTTAAGATTGTTTCTTGGCTGCTTCAAGGTCCATAGGCGTGGATTTTTTAAAGATTTTTTTAAATGTCCTCCAAAGTCCATGGACGTGGATTTTTCAAAGATTTTTTCTACTCTGCTCCAAGGTCCATAAGCGTGGATTTTTTAAAGATTATTTCCTAGGCTGCTTTTTTTCAAAAATTCTCCAAGGTCCAAAGGCGTGGATTTTTTTAAAGATTTTTTCTAAAATTTTCCAAGGTCAAAAGGCGTGTATTTTTTAAAGATTTTTCTAGAATCCTTCAAGATCTAAAGGCATAGATTTTTCAAAGTTTTTTTTTAACATCTCCAATGCCAAAGACGTGATTTTTGCTAGATTTTTTTTCTTAACTCCCCCAAGGTCCATTGGCGTGGATTTCTTAGTTTTTTTTCAAAACTCCCCTAAGTTCAAAGTCAAGTTTCTCCCTCTTGATCTTTACATATATGTAAGGCTTTCCATTCCATCCATTTGACAATCCTGACCACATTTTCAAATTTAATTAATTCCAACACAATTTCCAATGTACCACACATATTATATAACAGACATGTATATAAATTTTAATTACTAATTGTATAGCTTACAATGGCAGCGTCTAAATGTCACAATGGTAATAATGACGAACTACACATGCATACATACATATGTATGTCACAGCAGTTGGTTGCAAATGAACTGCTTTTTTTTCTATGGCTGTCAAAAAAATGTATGTGAATGGAGCTAAGTTTTTTCCCTCTCTGACTATTTCGGCAGACATTGAAATGAATTTTTCTAACAAACCACAGGATGTAGATGTAGTTAGATTTTGACAATATGTATTCAACACACACACTCACACAAAACTTGCATTCATTTGCGGATATACAGATGTGTTTATGTAGATGAGAATGGTTTTTTTGTTTGTTGGTGTTGTTAAAAATCTAAAAATATTTTCAACAAAATTCACACACACATACAAAAGGCTTAACGACAGCATACCTGTCGCCGCATCACCCTGCAGCCTTTTGTTACGAGCAAAACTTTTGTGGTTGTGTTGTTTTTGGATGGGAAGAAATCAAAAGTCAAATGTGGCTGCAACCAAAATTTGACACATAGAATAAAAGCCCAACCGCATAGCGCTTGGGAATATGAATTGAGATGAGAATTATATGGGGGAGGTTTAGGTTAAGGCTGCTAGAATTCCATTACAATTCCATGTAAATGGAATTCTGTAGCCCCATGGAGTTTGACAAAGAAATATATATCCGGAGATGACAGAACATATGGGAGGGCTTTAAAAGGGTTGTGTGTGCTTTTGCAGTTATGGTACTCATATTTCCGATCACATACAAATAGCTGTAATTTTTGCATTTTCATGAGTAAATGCTACAAATGTCGGCTAAATTCTTCAAATAAAAAATTGGGAAAATAAAGGATCACAAACTTCATGATTTTTTGTTTTCAAGGTTCAAAATATAACCCCAGCTCGGGTGAGAATGAAGAGTACAACTGTCTAGGGGTCTTCTTATTAAATACCTGTTCGGGAATAAATTTTCAATTTTTAATAAAAAATTACATAGTATGCACTGCAAATTTAATTTCGAAACTGATTTTTTTTTTCTTTCAAACTTCAAAATCAAAATATATTTCCCTCTGGAAAATGAAAAATTTGGTTACCTTTTTGACTTGTGTGGCTTTTGTTGTGGCAATTTACAAATCACTGAAACCGTTTTGAAACTCTCCCCCTTGAAATTCGTACCACAAAATACCAATCGCATAACTGGAATCTGACGACATGGAATATCCCGGCATTTTAATCTTCATAGCTACCGCAATTGCAATTCGTGTGGTCGTTGTTACTCTCAACTCATCTGCAGCGGACGTTTAGGCGGAAAATTGCTTGTCAATTCCGCAACAATGTGATTTCCCCATATTGAATGCAAATGGAAGATGTGGTTCGAGATATGATTGTTTAATATCAAAATTGTTTAGAGAGCGTGATTTAAATTATAATCGGAGGAAATAAAATGTTTGATAATGAAAATTAAATGATGATAGATGTTTCAAATTTAACTTTTTGCAAAGTATTCTTTAGGTATTCAAGAAGATTTAACACAACTGTTCTAAATAAGGAAAAGATGACGAAACAACTAAAAAGAAGACCTTAGAACCCCAAATAAGGAGAAGAAGATTAAAAGACCTAGAAGACCACATTTCCAAAGGTGTAGACTTCCCCAAGGCCCAAATTCGTGGATTTTTTAAGATTTTTCCGAGATTCCTCAAAAGCGTGGATTTTTTAGAATTTTTTCCTTGACTTCTCCTGGGTTTAAACTCGTGGATTTTTCCAAGATTCCTCCAAGACTCCTTCAAGATCCAAAGGCTTGGCTTTTTAAGATCTTTCCTGGACTCCTCCAATGTCCAAAGGATTGGATTTTTTAAAGATTTTTCCTTCAAAGTCCAAAGGCGTGAGTTTTTATCTAAACTCATTCAAGTTGGACTTTTTACCATTTTTTTCTAGACCCTTCTAAGATCCACGGCGTGGATTTCTTAAAGATTTTTTCCCTAAATCCACCAAAGTCCAGCGACGTTGCTTTCTTCAAGATTTTTCCGAAACTCCTTCTAAGTCCACAGGCGTGGATTATTATATTTTTTTAGACTCCACCAAGGTCCAAGGGCGTGGATTTTAGAAATTTTTTGTAGATTCAACAAAGGTCAAAAGGCGTGGATTTTTCAAAAATTTTACCTGACTTCCCCAAGGTTCAAAGGGTTGATTTTTAAGAAAACACCTGACTCCCCCAAGGGTTGTTTTTTTTAAATACTTGACTTCTCCAAGGTCCAAAGGCGTGAATTAAAAAAAAAATAGGTTTGGTTTAAAAAAATACCTGACTCCTCAAGGTCCAAAGGCGTGGATTTTGTTTTATTTTCCTTTCGCGTCCTCCTATATTTCAACGGCGTGGATTTTAAAGAATTTCTTTGACAAATCCAAAGTCCAGAGGCGTGGATTTTTTAAACTATTTTTCCGGTAAACCTTCAAAGTCCGAAGGCGGGCTTTATAATTTTTTTAGACTACTCGAAAGTACAACGACCTTGATTTTATCTTTTAGACTCCTCCAAAAGTCCAAAGGCGTGGACGTTTTAAACATTTTTCCCTTCCACTTCCAAGATCCAAAGCCGTGGTTCTTATACATTTTTTCTAAACAGAGTGGTTTAAAGATTTCTGAGACTCTACGAAGGACTAAAGGCGTGGATTTTTTTTAAAATTTTCTAGCCTCTCCAATGTCCATAGGCGCAAGTTTTTAAAGATTTTTTCTAGACTCCCACAAAGCCAAAGTCGTGGATTTTTTAAAGATTTTTTCCAGACTCCTCCAAGGTCCAAAGGCGTGGATTTTTTAAAGATTTTTTTCGGGACTTCTCCAAGGTCCAAAGGCGTGGATTTTTACTTGACTCCTCCAAGGTCTAAAGATGTGAATTTTTACTTGACTCCTCCAAGGTCTAAAGATGTGAATTTTTACTTGACTCCTCCAAGGTCTAAAGATGTGAATTTTTACTTGACTCCTCCAAGGTCAAAATACGTGGATTTTTTAAAGATTTTTCCGAGACAAATCCAAGGTCCAAAGGCGTGGATTTTTTGAAGATTTTTCCTTGCGTGGATTTTTAAAGATTTTTCCGAAACTTATCCAAGGTCCAAAGGAGTGGATTTTTATTTTACTCCTCCAAGGTCCAAAGGCGTGGATTTTTTGAAGATTTTTCCGAGCGTGGATTTTAAAAGATTTTTCAGAAACTTATCCAAGGTCCAAAGGCGTGGATTTTTATTTTACTCCTCCAAGGTCCAATGGCGTGGATTTTTTGAAGATTTTTCCGAGCGTAAATTTTTAAAGATTTTTCCGAGCGTAAATTTTTAAAGATTTTTCCGAGCGTAAATTTTTTAAACTTATCCAAGGTCCAAAGGCGTGGATTTTTTGAAGATTTTTCGAGCGTGGATTTTGAAAGATTTTTTTCCCAAAAACTCTTCTCTACATAGAATACCTTCAGAAGCTCTTCTTTACATAGAAAACCTTCAGAAGATCTTCCATACATAAAGGATCTTCAAAAGCATTCCTATACATATAAGACCTTCAGAAGCTCTATACATAAAAGGCTTTCAAAAGGCTCTCCTATACATAGAAGACCTTAAGAAACTCTTCCAAACATATAAGACCTTTAAAAGCTCTTCTATACACAGAAACCTTCGGAAGCTATTCTATGCACAGAATACCTTCAGAAGCTCTTCTATATACATTCAGAATCTCTTCGATACCCATAAGACCTTCTATACATTGAAGACCTTCGAAGGTTTTTCTATACATATAAGACCTTCAAAAGCTCGTCTATACTATCAAAAGATTTCCTATAGAAAGAAGATCTGCAGAAGCTCTTCTAAACAACGAGGACCTTCCAAAGCTTCTCCATACATAGAAGAAGTCCTCTCAATATGAAATATTTTTAAAAGCTCGCACACTTAATACCTTCGAAGGTCCTTCCATGCATAGAAGACCTTCAAAAGATATTTGAAACACAAAAGCTAATTTTTTCAGAAAATACCACAAAAATTATTATATAAATTTAAAACTGCAGAAAGCTCAGTTGTGCATAGAAGACCTTCGGAAGCTTTTAAATTCATATAAAGTTCTGATATGGTCTTTTAATTATAGACGACCTACAGAAGCTCTTCTAGACATAGGATATCATCAGAAGGTTTTTCATACGTAAAAGACCTCCACAAGCTTATTTATATAAAAAGTTGTGATTTTTTGTAGACGACTTCAAAAAGCTTTTCTAAGCATTGACCATTGATCAAAAGTTCTCTTGCGCAAAGAAGACCGTTAAAGGTGTTTTAATAACGATCTACAAGAAGTCCTTTATATCTAGGAGATCTTTCAGAAGGTTTCCATATGTAAAGGACCTTTTCAATGCATATAAGTTCTTCTACATATTTTCTAGGGACAAAATAAAATATAAATTTTATATATATAAATAAATATAAATTTTATATGTATAAATAAATATAAATTTTAAATTTTTTAAAATTTATATCTTGAAAATTATGTTAATTTCAAATTTAAACAGTTGATGATGAGAATATCCTATTTCCATTAAAATTTACAAATTCATTAACCTTGAGCCTATCCACCAAATTTTTGGGGCTGGGATAAATCCAACACAAACTTTGTCTAGACAAAGAATAATAAAACAAAGCAGATGGGGATTTTTTGTCGCAAACTTTGGTTTGCTTTTGTCGCTCGTTCGTCGAATGTGTAATAAAAATTAGCTTATAAAAATATGTTCTTACTGAAATTCTGTGGATAGGATATCATCGCCGTCTATTTGCATTTGCTAGCATCTTTCTGTGTATCTATGTATCTCCATCAATGCCGAAATCTCTTGACCAAATAGACAATCAACAGCAAAAACAATGCCAATATGGCAACAGTCTGCAAATGAAAATTTCATGTTAATTTATTATTCAATTGGAAGCTGTTGGGCCAATCTTTGCGTCCTGAATGGCAAAAATTGGCACATGAAAAATAGAGACAGAAAAAAAAACCAACAAAAACGAATATCAATATTCATCTGCATTCATTATTCATTGAATATTAAGTTGGAAATTTGCTCCTGTAAAAAAAAAACTTACCAGAAAACAATAGAAGATGTTGCCCAGAGTTAGGTCCATCATCGGTTGGTCGTGTTGCTTTCGTTAGATAATAATTGGTCTTGTTAAGTTTTTATGGGGAAAATATGTGGAAAAATATGTTTTTTGTTTATCGCCAGATATATTTTTTGATTTATGCCGATTATGAGAGAGAAAAACAAAGAGACACACACATGCCAAAGAAGGTCTCTGACACAATAGACAAGGTAGACAGACATGTGTGTGATTTTTTTGAAATATTTATGTGATGAGGGTGAGAGATTTGACATGTGCAGACGTTTGAGGTTCAACATCGAGGACTCGAAGCCAAACACATGACAGGATGGCAAAGTTTTTTTAAGCAAACAAATCTGATTTTTTTCGTTCAATAACTCTTCCACAGATTTTACAAAACCTCACAAAACAAAAACATTTTTAAAAGGTCATTATTCTTCTTGAGACCGTCTATTGCTGTAGCGGGAGATCCTTCAAAGAACTGCTATACTTAGAAGTCATTTTATAGAAGTTTCGTTCAGCAGCTTTCTAGAGATAGAATCACTTCTGGGGCCTGAACCAACTCCGGAAATTTTGTAGAAAGACGAAATTGAAACTGTAGGAATTAAAGATCTTCCAGAGTTTCCTAACAAACACAACACATAATTTAAATCGTCCGTCCAGGGAAAAACATAGGGTAAAGACAGAGGTGTCCAGGCCCTCCAAAATGGCAAGTTTTCGCAAATTTTTTCATCCAGAAAATATTTTTTTTTTTTTTCAGAAATTCTTTATAAATGCATTTCTTTGTACGTCTCTGTCCCCACCATGCAATAGAGGGTATATAAAGTTTATCATTCCATTAGTTACTCCTTGAAACTGGCATTTTAGACCCCACAAAGTGTCTATTCAGGGTGAAATGAAAAACAATTGCAACAAAATCAAACGCCATAATTTTTCCATTTTTTTTTTTTTTTAATTTTATTGAATAAAAGCAAAAAATGTCGGAAATAGCATCAAATTTTAGAATAAGTTTAGATTTGTTCGCGTTTCTATATATAGATGACCTTCAGAAGCTCTTCTATACATTTATGACCTTCAGAAGCTCTTCTATACTTAGAAGACCTTCAGAAGCTCCTTTTTGCATGGAAGACCTTCAAAAACTCTTCCAAACACAAAAGACCTTCAGAAACTCTTCCAAACATGGAAGTCCTTCAAAAGGTCTTCTAAACATGCAAAACCTTCAAAAGCTCTTCTATACACAGAAACCTTCAGAAGCTTTTCTATGCACAGAAGATCTTCAGAATCTCTTCTATACCCATAAGACCTTCTATACATTGAAGACCTTCGAAGGCCTTTCTATACATATAAGACCTTCAAAAGCTCGTCTATACTACAAAAGATTTCCCATAGAAAGAAGATCTGCAGAGGCTCTTCCAAACAAAGAGGACTATCCAAATCTCCTCCATACATAGACGAAATCCTCTGAATATGAAATATTTTTAAAAGCTTCGAATTTGTTCGAATTGGTCACCTTTGGCACGAATTATGGCCTTGAAACTGTCAATGAAACCGTCACACGCTGCCCGAATGTTGCTCTGCGATATTTTAGCCCATTCTCGGCGAAGCGCTTGGTTGAGGTGATCGACACTTTGGTATTTTTTTGGGGCCAACCTTGCTTTCTAAAATACTCCAGACACGATAGTCCAACGGATTGGTATCTGGATTGGAGATTTTGGTGGCCATTGTGCGCTGGAAATGAAGCGAGGAACCTCATTTTGTAACCATTCTTGGGTGGCGCGTGCAGAGTTCGATGGTGCTGAGTCCTGTTGGAATGGCAAAGATCTGCGGCCAAAATGTTTTCGTGCCCAAGTCTTTAATACATCCTCAGGAATATTTTCGCTATAATATTCGGCATTTATTCTGATGCCACGGACGATTAAAATAAGAGCGGCCAACGGCTGTTATGGCGGCCCACACCATCACCATGGCCGGCACTTTAGTTCTGCTAGCCAACCGTCCATAGCCCAACGGAATTTTTCCATTCTGCGCTAGAAATGAAGCGAGGAACTTCATTTTGTAACCATTCTTGGGTGGCGCGTGCTGAGTTGAAATGTCCAAGGTCTGCGGCCAAAATGTTTGCGTGCCCAAGGCTTTAATACACCCTTCAGAATAATTTCGATCGATTAATACGAGCAGAGAGCGACTATCGACTGTTATGGCGGGCCACAACATCACCATGGCCGGCCGCTTGAGTTCTGGTGGCCAACCGAAGGTGCACATTTTCAGCTGACCTCTTTGGCAATCATTTTCTTTTTTGTTTACAAACTGCTGGACAACGAATGTTTTCTCATCGGAGAAAACCAAATTCGGCAGTTCACCATTTTCGACCAGGCGAAGCAACTCTTTATCTCTCTTGAGCCTATTTTCTTTCTGTTGCGGTGTAAGATCTTGCTCTTTTGGGAATTTCAATGGCTTTACCCCGAGCTCATTTTTCAATATTTGCCGAATGGAATATTGCGATATGTTCAGCTCATGAGGCCGCTGCGACGCAGGTTTCGATCAAGTCGCTTCTTTACTTTTCGAAGCATTTCTGCTGATGTTGCTGTTTTCTTCGTCCACTTCCTTGACGTCGGGCTACGCTACCGAGTAACGAGCGTTGGTACACGACACAAAAGATTTATTCGCATTTAAATGTTGGAGTGCCACTTGTGGTTTTCCAGCCAAATATAAAGAAATCACACCATCACGCTTGAATTCCATCACGAATAACTTTTTTTCTGGAAAATTCTCACCAAAATGCTTTTGTACGCTTGTAAACAATATAATGAGCTGTCACTGGAATAATTTTAACAGCTGTCGGACTAGTGGCTTAGAAATGACAGCAGTCTGAATTTGGTTGCAGTTTTTTTTTTTTCATATCATCCTGGATTTTGCTATTAAAATAAACTTTCCTATATTATGCCCAGTACTCGAAATACTACCTTTTTATTATTGTCTAATTAATAAATGGTTGCCATTTGCTAAATCCAATTAGATTTCTATAATAAAATTTCCATTTAATTTGGCGCCCAAGTTAACTTTTTAATCAGCATAATTATGTGAGATGACCTCAATTGCTGTGAATATCAAAAGCAACAAATATAAATACAAGTTAAAATGGGAATTTTTATGACCTTTTATTTGCAATTTATACTGAAAATCACTGTAGATACCCTCCACACACAGAGATACCACACATACACAACATTGATACATTCACTGCCGTTGCCAAGATACTCCACTTTTTTATGATACCTCCAGTTTCTTTTCTTTTTTTCTTTCTTTTGTGAAAAAAATGTCAATCAAATATTGTTGTTATCGGATGATTGAAGGTAAACACTGGGTGGAATATTTCCAAAGTGAGGGGCGAGAAATAGGCAGCTTCAAATATCATTTTTTCTAATGGAGATATTTCTTATTTGCATGAATGCTAGTTTTTTTCCAGGGTGCCGGGTTGTTGAGAAGCTGCCATATTTCTTTTTGTAGTAACTGAAAAGTTGAAAAAATACTAAGCAGAATTAAAGTATTAAAGCATTTTCCTGTAGGCAGTTGCATGGTACCATGGTACAATGAAGAGAAGGTAGGTCAACTTTGAAAAAATTGCAAGTATAGAGGTCTACCTGTTTGGCTTGTAATGTCAGAATTATTGCATTAATTTTGAACAAATAATTGAAAACCGCGAAAACTGAATGAAAGGTCAACATATCTTTTCAAAATCATGTTCTATATATCTCTTATGGTTTATTTCGCGACATAAACTTTAGACTTTGTCGATGCATATGTTGCAATAAGCATTTTGAAAACACCCGAATTTGAATATTTCCTGAACAATTTTTTTATTATTGAAAAGAATATGCACACATAAACAAATGAAGTTGACATATTAAGCCAGGAAAATAAAAAAAATTTAAATCATATGGTAGTTCTGCCCTACCTTGAATTTATTGTACCATGCATGGTACAATGAAGAGAAGGTAGGTCAACTTTGAAAAAATTCCAAGTATAGAGGTCTACCTGTTTGGCTTGTAATGTCAGAATTAGTGTCAAAACAACTAAAAATCAAACAACTTGTTGCATTTATTTTGAATAAATAATTGAAAAACGCGATAACTGAATGAAAGGTCAACACTTTTTTTCAAAATCATGTACTATATATTTCTAAAGGATTATTTCGCAACAAAAATTCTAGATTTTGTCGATGCATACGTTGAAATAAACATTTTGAAAACACCCGAATTTGAATATTTTCTGAAAATTCTTTTGTTATTGAAAAGAAAACACATACATAAACAAATAAAAATTAAATATTAAGCCAAGAAAATAAAAAAAATTAAAATCATATGGTATCATAGCCCTACCTTGATATCATTGGACCATGATCCCTCCTAACTTGCGAAACATGTCAGCGATTATTTTGAAACTTGGTATATTTAAACATTTCTCTCAACCAGAGATCTGATGTGGGTATGGAGTTTTTCGGATTAAATGAACAATATTGACACCCTACTTTGGGATCTCTTACATAACGCAATCCATACGGTGAGGGTATACATCCGCCAGTAATACCGACTGATACTTTTTAATATGTTTCTGTAGAATTTTTGGAAACCCCTTTCAAATGATGAAGGAATTTAAAAGTTCAGTCCTGTCGAACTATTCTCTTGTTTCTTTTAGCCTTTTAATGCAATTTTATTTATTTTTCAAATCCCATTTTCAAATATCCCCTATATATGTTTGCAGCAATTTATATTTAAACATTTTTTCCAAATGCTTTCGATTTCAAATTTATTTTCTATTTCTTAAGATAAGCAATTACAAATGTCATTTCTGGGGCAATTTAAAGTGACACATAAAAACATTTTATTGACACATAAATTTGTCTATCTTCAATGTTTTATTTTTTAGACATTTCAAAAAAAAAAATAAGTTATATGTTACATGTCCAATACTTCTTTCAAACACAAAACAAGTGTTTATGTTTGTATCATTTGTATTAAATTAAGAAATGCAAGGCCGTTCTGTTTTCTTTAGCCAACATATGAAGTGTTGTTAAAAAAATAAAATCAAGATTTGTTTTAGAAATTTAAAGCATTGTTCAAAATTTGAAAAAAAAAAAAAAAACAACGTCGAAATATACAGGATGAGATAAAAAATCTACAACAATGTCAAACCCCATAATTTTTACATTTTTTTTTTTAATTTT